TTAAAGATTATTAAAGCTATAAATTTTATAATAAAAGAATCTTTTTCTATATTATTATCCTTTTACTTATTATATTTTATTTATTATGTACTTGTTAAAATTATTTAACTTGTTTAAATTATTATAAAATCTAAAATTAATTATGATAAAATTTATTTTATAATAATTTTAGTAGTTTTACCTATTACTTGCTTTAAGTTTAATAGATTAAATATAAATTAACACTATAAACGAAATAAAAAAAGTTTAAGAGTTAATTTTTAAACTAATTATTTAAAAGTATAAAATTAATTTTTTATAAATTTAAACAAATTAATATTTTTAAAGTAATATACTATTTTATATTTATATATTAATCTATAATAAGAGTTATAAATTTATTGATAAAATAAATTAAAAGTTTTTAACAATTCATGAGCAATTTTTTAATTTTTACAAAGAAGGTTTATTAATCTATATAATTATTAAGGAATAACTAAGAAGGATTTTACTTCCTTCAATAATTTTTTTATCATTAAGTAATATAATTTTAATAGCTTTTTAAAGTATAATACTTAGAATTATTTAAAAAATAGATAGAAGTGTATTTTTCATTTTCTTTAAATAGTTAATCTATTTAAGACTAAAATTATACTATTAATATTATAAGTTTTCAAAATATATCTGATCTATATATCTAAAGATGATGCTGCAACTAGTTGTAACTGATGATAAGTAAGCATCACATAGTTGCAATATTAATAAAAATTGAGTTGCAACTAATTACAACTAGTGATAAATTAGCATCATATAGTTGTAACTAGTTGCAGTGCTATTTTTATATATATCACTATTCTTAATTATGATATTTTTAGCTAATAAATCTTTTATTCTTTTAATAAAGGATAGTTTTAAACAAATTTAATTAATGAACTATTTCTATTAGTTTTAACTAAGCTTTTTATTCATAATAACTAAACTTAGATATAAAACTTCAAATTTGATTTGATAGGTCAGATAACTTAATAAGTTAACTTAAAAAATTCAGTTCAGGTTAAATGAGATATCCAACCTGATACAACCTAAATTTTTTAGTTAAAAAATTCAAAATTTAATATCTGTTAATATCTATTCATTTGAAATAAAATAACTATTATTATATTTCTCTTATTAAGAAGAATCAAATAAACTATATTTATTAATTTAGATCACTAGTTGTCAAGATATAACTTATTTAATTTTACTATATAAAAGTTTAAATACTTATTATAGATTAATATATAAATATAAAATAGTATATTACTTTAAAAATATTAATTTGTTTAAGATGAAATTGCTACTATTCAATTTATTATATTAAGACAAATCCAATAAGCATATATTATTTAAAATTAATTATTAAATTAAATTATAAATATAGTAAATCATTAAACTATAATGTGATTTTATTAGCTTATCTTTCATTTATCAATTACTAAATACCAAGAAATCTTAAAAAACTGTTTTTTTAATTTTTTTAATATGATTTATGATTTGACCTAATTTAACTGATTTATTTAAAGCTTTATTTAGATGACTTATAATGAATTAAATATACAATATTAATTGATTTTAAATTAATTTAAGATTGATTTAAATTTGATTCAGGTTTAATTTAAGATAATTTAAAAATTTAAAATTAATCTAATATGATCTAATCTGTATTTTATTAAATATGAATTAATAATAGATTATTTCTAAATCATTTTACTTCAAATATAATGAATTCTTTTTTTAGTATTAAATAACCTATGACTAATGTAATACTTTCAAAATAATCAATATACTAATTAATAATTCTTTTAATATCTATTAAACTTACATTTTCTTAATATAATAAAATATATGTAACATTATCTTGAATAGTTTTATAAATCTTAAAGAATCATTGATTTACATAGATCAAATTGATATAACTATACCTTTTATTAAAAAAAAATAATCAAAATAACTTTTTAAATTTTATTAAACATATTTATGAGATTCTTAATATTACTATAGTATAATAATTTAAATCAAATTTTTCAATATTTAAAATATTAGAACTGATAATATCTGAAATAATATATCTTCTTCTTCTTTATTAACTTATTATTATAAAAGTTTTAACATTAATCTATTTTAGTTTATTTAGATATTTATCAATTAATATATTATAATTATAAAAAATATATTTTTTACTATCTTTTTTTATCTTTTTATTATATATAAGCAGATTAATAAGGTTTACAAATTTATTACTTTACTAGGTTAATATTCATCAGTATTATATATTAAATAATCCGTAATTTTATTATATGTTGCGTCAGATGACGATTGGCCTAAATTATGGGCCTATTTTGGGCCGATCTTATAATGCCTTAAGAAAGTTTGGCCAGCATTAGTCATCTGACGCATGTCAACTGTCAGTTGACGCAAATTGACATATGACGCACAACATGTACATCTCCCTTATCCCTTCTCGATATTTTCGCTTTTGACGTTTTAACATTTATAATTATTAATTTGTAATTTTGTTTAGTTTTTTAAATTTCTCGTAATTGCGCAGTTTTAATAATTAGAATTTTATTGATTGGCATTTATTAGTTTAACACATTGACATTGCGAAAGTGTAGAGCGCCGACGTTAAGCAACACTGATTAATTCGATATTATTAAATAAATTTAGCGTCATTACTTCATTTTTAATAAAAACCTTTGCTTACATTTAAAATTGTTTATAAATACATAAACGAAAGAACTGAATATAGTAATCGAATATGCTAAAGGCGTTCTTATATCATGCCGTAATTTTGCAACGCGATTTGAAATAGAGGTTGGTTCAAATTAAACACCGTATACAAAATTTGCCTAACACAAAAACCGGATTTTTTATATCCGGATATATAATGATTAAATTTCAATCTTTTTATGTGAAGATATGAAGATATGATAATAAAAAAAATCGTTTGTTAACCATCGTTATTAAAGAACATTATTTTCCATTTGTAAATTTATAAATAACTCGATTATAACTGATAACTTATATTTGAATTCATATACGATGATGTTATCTTTTAACCTTTATTTTAATGCTGTCTTATTCAGATACAATAAATCCAGTTCTGAATTTGAAATTAATAAATCCGGAAAATAGTTTAAATTTACAATTTACATGTGCATTTTTAGTAAGTATTTTATTATTAGATAGTATAAATAATAAAGGTTAATTGGCTGATCAAAAGGATCGAGACATCATCTAAACTCAATCAAAAGTTTTGTGTGATTCATTATATTGACCAAAAAGGTTAACAGACGAAGAAAATTTAAAGATGTAGACGTGGACGTTACAAAAGAGATGATGGTTATATGTTTTTGGGTGAATGTATTTATTATAAAAATATAAAATTTTTTCGTTATCGTTACAATAAATTCAATAAAAAAATATACAGTATATCTAAATTAAAATATGTTAGTTTGCTCCTTTCCTTCCAGGCATTATAGTCCTAAATTCATCAAGAACATAATGGTCGGAAGACATATCTGCCAGGGCGCGTATTGACTAAAGGACAAATTGTCTGCGGGACATCTTTCAATGATATCATCTAAAATTATGCCCTCTATATAGACACACCCTCGGGATCAGAAAATATCGGTATGACTATAGAAGAGGATTTTTAATGTTTATTATTAACTTCAGCATAACAAGAATCTGCTTTAAGATGACTAGATTGTATTCCAATTTCAAATTTTAATCTAAATTTTTTAGATGACGCTAATCTTAAAATTTGATTGTTCATTAAAAATTTGAATATATTGATAATGAAAAAGCTTATCCAATTAGTAATGAACTGATTGATAAAATTTAATTTTTTTCATAAAAAGTGATTCGTATCGTATCAATACAATGAATTAGTTCATTATAGTGAAAGAAACTTAAATTTTTAAATTAGTCAATTAATGGTAAATGTAGTAAATTGATTGTCAAATGTACTGTGGTAACACCAAATATTAAAAATTCTTTCACGTCGAATTCCCACGACTCGGATTTAAAATTATTATTTTTATTCCTATCTAATTGATTATAATTTCTAATTTTGTCTCACGTCGTCATTGATTCACGTTTAAGGTTTCATGCAATCGGAGCAAAAACTTTTATAAATTGGATTTTTTCCCATCCCCATCAAAAGAACTTGAATAATGATTAATTCCAAAATGCAAATTCACGGCCTTTGTTTTTTGCTTGAACAAAAAGTAAATCCGATCCTTTACAAAATGTTGTCATTGAGGCCAACAGTAAGTTTACGATAATTCGTAATTTATTATCGTTGAAAGATTTCTAACAATTTGCATCTCGTTCATTTTTTTAGTTGTTGATATGGGTCGCTGAAGGTTTGTACGATGTGAATTAGTGATATTAACTTACATATAAGAACATTAATACCTTAAGGTTTAACTTTCTTACAGTTGCTATAATCCAGACTTATAAGATTGCTGAAAATTGAAGCCTTTTATAAGATTCCTATTCATGAAGATATAATTGTTTGCGGATTTGAAGCGGAAATTGATGGAAGAAGTAAATTAAAGGGCTTTGTCAGAGAAGAAAATGAGGATGTCGATCAATAAACTGAAGAGGTTAGGGTATTTTCAAAGCTGATTTTTGTATTTATTTTTCCTACGTATGTAAATTAATTAAATGATATCTGACTTGATTAGCAAGGACATGGTGCGAATCCGAATCAAATGAAGTATTTCAATGTTTTGTTGGACATATTTCAATTGGACAAACTGTGGTCATAAGAATTACATACGTTGCAGAACTCAAGCATGATTCCGAGTCTGAAAAATTCGATTCGTTCTTCCAAACTTTATCGCGATGAGATATGGATCCAATGATGAGAAAATTATTAACGCCGATGCTGTCGTTAATTATTTAGATCTGAAAATTACTTGTCGAATGGCTTCAATTCTTCAACATATTGAATCGCCTTCACATAAATTTCTACCGAAATGAGTATTGATGGAAATCCTAATAGTTTCAAAATCACTTTAGATGAACAGATTACTTATTTAGAAAAAGATTTCATTATTGTGTTTAAGAGTAAAGATCTTGACCAATCAAGGTAAATATTTTGACAACGATTCAGAATTAGTTTACTTTAAAATCATTCAATTAGTTTTTTCTTTTAGAGCTTTCGTTGAATACAATCCTGAAACAGAAACAAATTGTGTTATGTTAACTTTGGTTCCGAAATTCACGTTAAATACAACCGAGTTAATATTCGTTATCGATAGGTATTGTATACAATTATGAGTTTAAAGAAAAATTGCTTTCTGGCCGGTTAACGAAAAAATTATTTTTCCAAAATTGATCAGGATCAATGAGTGACGGACCTATGAAGAGAGCTGCGCAAGCACTTGAATTATTATTACGATCTCTTCCTGAGGATTGTTACATAATATCGTTTGGATCTCGTTATGACTCTCTTTTTCCAAAAAGTCAACTGTCTAAAGCTCTTAATCTTGCTCAAATGATGACCTCAAATTACGGTGGAACAGAAATTTTCAGGGTATTAAATTGGGCATTTGAAAATTCAAGGAAAGATATGCCAACTTCTGTATTTCTTATTACAGACGATGAAGTTCGGAAAGTTGATCAATATACAAGTGAAAATGAAGAAAAGATGAATGATGATTTACGTCTTTTTGCATTAGGAATTGTTCATTCCGTTTCACATAATTTAATCGAATCTATTGCTCGTGCTGGTAAAGGATATGCTCAATTTGTAACGAATAATGAGAGAATGGATAAAAAGGCTATCGAAATGTTGAAAAACGCGGTAAAATCACCGATCAAAATTACTTGGACTGACGCTAATGTCTCGGAATCAACAGAAAAGGAAGGGTCCGAAGTGGAATCTCCGCCACCACAATTGAGTAATATCTTTACTGATATTAAGATTAAACAGGCTCCACATTTCATTCCACCTCTTCGTAATGGTGACCGATTTGTTGTTTATTGCACGTTGGAAAAAAGCATTGAACCATGTAAAGTTATCACTTTAAATGGCTCTATGAAACTTGATATTTCTTTAGAACCTACTACTTTACAAGGTTCGAAGATTCATAAATTAGCAAGGAAACTTATTAAAGATCTCGAGAATGGAGAGTCATTTCTTCATAGGCATCCTAAAAATGTTGGTAAACATGTTCTAGCTAACGAATATGGGGGGCGGTCAATAGAAAAGGGGGAAATCTACAAATTTTGAGTAATTTTAGTTATTAAGCTAGTTTTGTTCA